AACAGAGGTCCACTTTTCTGAAAATTGGGTTTGATTTGGTCATGTAATATACTGAGAAATTTCACTGTAGAAACAATTTTAGTTATTATTAACATCATTTATATTCATTCATATACATAAAACTCACATCTTATAATCAAAGTAGCCTCTTCTGTGTTGACAGGGGCCATACTTTAGGCATTAATAGGATCAGGTATTCATTCAGCACTCTTTCCTAAATCATTTTACTCAAATGAGAATTTATAAGTGAGTTTTGTCCTCCTCCATGAACGATTTTCCAGAATCTAAACGAGTTATGTGATCAAACTTAATTCCTCTAAACAGATTTTGTGTTTCATGTTTCAAAATGATAAGGACAATCTGAGTCCATACTTCAAAAGAGCAATTAATCCAAAATAAAAAATGGTAGCTAAGAATCTATTTCATAAAATCTGAGCTTCATCTTTTTTAACAAACACATTGAGTAATAAGAGAGAGAGAATGAGCAACCCAGTGATTTGTTGCTTACACATATGCCTAATCTTCATCATGGAAAATACCATCAAGCAAAAGAGCATCTGGCCTTTGATATTTTCTTAATATGCATTAAAAGGCAATGTACTTCAAATATCTCGTAAAATGGCAAACTAAACCCAAAGGTTTAATCTAAGTAAGAGGAAAAACACTATATAGAGAACATTTTGCCAGCTATTATTAGGAAATGATGGAGATGGACTAAAAGAATAATAAAAATAGGAAGTGGATAAGACCTAAGATTCATTTTTAATGACTTCTCATTGCTCTCAGAACCGGCTTTTATGCTTCATTGTCCAAAAAGCAGTAACTCTTAAAAAGTTCTATTTAAATATTTTAAAAATCAGTCCATTCTATTTTAAGTTTACCCCAGAAGAGATATGCCATAAACATTTTTAGATTTAAATCCATATTTGGTCAATTTTTTAAAAGTTTATTTTTATAATGATATTTGATATGATCCACTGGCATCACGCAGTTCATTAGCAGATTTTTTTGTGTCTTTCATAGCTGTAGAATCAGAAATATGTTTTCTATTAAAGGATTCTTTAATTTCAGGCTTCTTGAATAAAATCTTGATTGTCTTCCAAACAAATTCTACAACTTTTCTGAACTACTTTTCCAATGTTTAACACTTAAATACTGAAAAATTTCCCTTCTAATAATCTCCGTTTCCTGAAGTTGTTCTTCCCAGCCTGGATCTTTCTATCTTAGCTGTGTGAAAATGAAATAGTGGTCAAGTCCGTTTTTACACAGCCCCCTACCTCCATATCTTAGTTTTCTCTTTTTAAGGCAAATGTATGTAAGGCCTTTAATTTTACTAAATAACTTTAGTTTTTCTGTTATACTTCTAAATTCACCTCAAATCTTTATTTGCTTTCATCATGCCATAAGATCTCTTGCTTTATAATGTCAGGATAAATGGAAGTGACATGCTTTAAGTTCCTATGTATTTCTGTTTTTGTAAGCTGTCTTTTTGAGATGAATTGTTTATTTTTATTGACTAATACAAAGGATTGAATCTGGATATTTTCCATTATAACTGTCCATCCTGTTTATAAGTGCATAAATACTATGAAAACACGTAACATGGCTGGTATGGGGAAGAATGAGGAATATAAAATTTATATTTTTCACTTGTTTATTCTGATTATACAGAGTGACTATGAAGTATGAATAATTGTAAGTGCTGTAGCACAAGGGCTCTGTGATCTTTGTGCAGTAGGTGCAAACCATATGACAGACTAGACTTGTAAGGGCTAAACCTTTGGTAGAGAGCTATCATGAAGAAGCAGAGAAAGTGACTAAGAACACAAAAATTTTGCTAAGCAGAATCAAAGCCCACTGAAGAAGGTAACCTTTATTTTTTTATCTTGCTAAACTGAGTAGTCAAAAGATATTTTTTCTAGAATTTGGAAATATGAGGAAGATTACTACTTGAACAAGTTCATGAAAGAGGTATCATTAGGAGACAGGGAAAGTGGAGAGTTGGTTGAAAAGACTATTAAGTTAAGGAAATAGGCTTGGACATGAAAGGCAGTAGAAACAGAAGATCCTAGGACACTGGAGTCTGTACAAAGCTTATTGTGGTTTTTTTTGTTGTTGTTTTGGTTTTTTGTGGCATTGGGGCTTGAACTCAGGGCCTACACCTTGAGCCACTCCATCAGCCCTTTTGTGTGAAGGGTTTTTTCGAGATAGGGTCTAGTGAACTATTTGCCCACATTGGTTTAAAACCGCAATCATCCTGATCAATGCCTCCCGAGTAGCTAGGATTACAGGCGTGAGCCATTTGTGTCCAGCTTGCTTGATGGTTTAAGTGACACCAGAAACCACCAGGAAACAGCATGAGAGTACAAAGAAATCAGAAAGTGGGATTTTTTTTTTTTAGATAAAAAACAATAAAGATTGATGAATTAGACAGGATGTGAAGACATGAGACCATGAAGAGTGCCAGAGACAGGAAGGTCAAGGTAATGGAGGGTGTTCAGCTTAACTGGGGGGGACACAGTCAATATAAAAATATGTCTATGTCAATTTCAGTTAGGAAAAGTAATATTAAAACATGAATGAGATAGAGAAGACAGGAGTGCTTGAGAACAGCTCTTTCATATAAGACAATGAAGACTCATGATGGTGTGACCTTAGCTGGATAATGTGACCTTAGATGGGAAGGAGCAAGCCTATGTGAAAATTGGGAATCAGTCTAAGGTAAACTGCTGGCATAAAGGACCTAAAGCAAGATCAAGGTTAGGAGAGAGAGACAAAAACAAGATGGCTATTCTCTTCTGAAGTCTTGTAAGAAAGCATATCTTTCCCCAAATTCTTTCAGCATGAGTATGATTATGGTGTATATTCAATTTTCAGGTTCATGCCTGTAATCTCTGTACTTGGGAGGCTGACAGTGGAAAGATCACAATTATAGGGCAGCCTGGGCAAAATTTAGCCAGAGCTCATCTCAATCAATAAGCCAGGCATGGTTGCATGTACCTCTGGTTCTAGTTAGCTAGGGATAGGTAAGAGAGTGAAAGTTTAGGCCAGGCCTCAGGCAAAAATAAGAAATCATACCTGAAAAATAATTAAAGTGAAAAAGGCTTGGAGGCATGGCTTAAGTGGTAGAGCACCTGCCTAGCAAGCCCAAGATCCTGACTTTAAACACTAATACTGCCAAAAAAAAAAAAAAGTAGATTATGAAGCAACACTGCTTGCATTTAAATTCTGTCCCTCCTTTTATAGCTGTATTTCCTTGGGAAAGGTCTACAATGCAGAACCATAGAACCATTCTGGCACTTTCTCACCTGTAACATGGTGATAATAATAAGATCTACCTCACAGAGTTGTTTTAAGACTTAAATGAACTCCTAGTTGTAAAGCTTAGGAAAATTCCTGGCATATAAAAAGTGCTTCATATATTAAAATAATTCTATTTCACCCCTGGCTGTTTTATATTGGAAAGATAAATTCTTTCATTTTGTATTCTTAATGATTATTTTTATTCGTTTTGAGTACCCTATAATTTAATTAAGTTTGTAAGAAGTATCTTATTTTTAATATTTCTTCATCACAAACACTTGACAAAGACATCATTGTCATGCTTTGATATCTTCCAAAATACTAATCTTGTGGGTGGCAGAGTATAGATGAATCAGTAAAAACAATCTTTCACTGATTGAAATATCATGACTCATTTTGATGGATTTTTCACTAGGTTCCTTAATACTGTTCTGCCAGATGAATTTGCCCTGCAAGAAAGTTATGCTTGGTTTTATAATTTTTTAAATACTGAGTTTTTAAAAATTAAAATATCTCACAATTTACTATTAGAAAATAGACTTCTGCCTTCATCTGAAATATAGATTATTTCAACTAAGCTGACAAGACAACATAGTGAGGCAATAATTATGTACAGATGATTTCTTTTAATATATTTACCCTTCTTTCATAATTTCATGTTTTAATCTAAATTCATGCCATTGAAAATTGTGCCTAAAAATATTATAACCCTTGTATAGTAAGATTTTAAGATATTCTATGTACAAAGACTTCAGAAAAAGTACTGAATACTATGGAGAACTTAGAGTATCTCAGGCCATATGAAAATAGTTGGAAAGTTTCTGAAATTTGGCACTTCTTTGAAAACTAGTAAAGAAATTTCCTAAACTGGTAAAGTTTTGTTTAGTACTTGAAAATCTATAAATTCAAGTTGTATAAGTTTTATTCATAGGCGTCAAATGAAAATATTAGGCAAATGTCATTAATATTCCTATTAATTGGTTATTAAGAACAATTCAAATGAAACAACTTTTAAGTAACATCTACAATGTAGTTACACAAAAGGAAGCACATACTATAACCTGTTTGGTCTGAATTATACTTACTGGATGAAATTATACATATACTCACACCTGTAGGCTTAAAGTCTAAAAAGTAAATTCCTAAAAGGCACATAGTTGAAACTTATAAATGAGTACTTTGAATGTGTTACTATATGAAACACAAACCTGCAAGGGATCATTGAAAATTCAGTTTTCTGAATGATATAACCAGTTTCTAAGTAACTTTGATAAAGTCACAAAGCTAAAACACTATAACAACTTTTTCCATTACATTATATTTCATCAGTTTTTTAATTTTATTTTTAGATCTAGTAAGTATATGACTTAAAATGCTTTCATATTCCATATTATGGAAAATCAGAGATTAAAACTTGTATTTCTTTAACATTATTTCAATACATTAATATTTTAAATATTGCTTTTCTGATTGTATACAATTAATGAAATATTTTTAAATATTTTAAATTCTAGAGAGTTAAAATTTTAAAGTCCCAAATAAAAATTCCTACAAATTAGGTTTCCCCTGGAAGAAAAAGAAAAGAGAAGCTTTATATCATAAATATGTATTACTTCTAACTCAATAAACTCTTTTTTTCTCTGACATGCATCTCCAATGATGTGTGTGTTTTATTCTTATTTCATTTTTGTTTACAGAAAACTGGGAACAAACCAGAAAGTGTGGATTTGTGTGGTGCACATATTGAATGGGCCAAGGAAAAATCAAGCAGAAAGAATGTCTTTCAGGTAAGAATGTTACATATATTCAGTTTATTTCTATCCCTTCTAAATCTGAACTCTCTTGAATAATCAAAATAGGACTACCTCTTTGTGATGTTTTCGTGTGCATGAACTAGTTATCTAAAGGTCATTATGAAAGACTGACTCTACTTCCTTGTTGCATCTGTGGTTCGCTGTGTTGTTTTTCCCTGGTGACTGGTTGCTATCTAAATACAAAATGTATGTTACATGTTGATTAGCTTTACACATAAGTCATTGAGTTTTGCAATAAGTTTGAAAGTGTTTGGAGTTCCAACCTTGAAGGCTTTACTTAAATAGATTTAATGTAGAACTTTCAGCATATAAAATTAATATTCAATAATTATAAGCTATTTTCATTCATTGCATTCCTGGCTTGTGGTCATTAACTACATTTTACTAGGGTAAGTAAGGAAGGTGGAAAGAGCTGAATAGTTGTAAACATTGCATCCTTTTACACTGCATACTTCTGAATCTTGGGGGGAAATCAATGATTAATAATTACAATTATATTATGAAATGGAAAGAACCAGATGAAAACCTTGAAAGAGAAGAAATTGAAAATTTCAATATTTCACAGATGATATTACCAAAATCGTGTTATTTGGCATGGTTCATCTTTGGTAATTAATAATTTCAGATTTTTTATAGAGATTGATCTTTTTCCATTTTAAAGGAGATTTAACTTTGATATTTGCAAATTAACCAATAATTTAGTACATTTATTTTAGAAAATCTTAGCAGACAAGGAAGACAGCTTATTCATACTTCTTAAAACTAAATCCCTTCTAAAAGCATTTTGGTCCTGAAGAAAAGTCAAGTTGTCTGTCATTAAATGATTTGCTAAGATTAATATATTGAGTCTTATAGTAGCATAGGTAAGTGGTTCCCACTGGGAGGGAAAATAATATTATTTTCAAGCAGAGACTATTTTTTTCAGATACATCCAAATAATTTGAGCCCATTCAGATTTTAAAAAGAAAAATTTCCACATATTCTGAAAGAAATTATTTTCTGATTCTAGTTTTATTCTACATAGATCTAGATATATTTCTTACCAAAAAATGAAATGAGAGGATATTTACAGTTATTATTTGTCAATTAAAAATAAATTTTTAGTAAAGAAAGAGTGAGGATGGAAGGAAGGTAGGAAGGCCAGCCAAACACACCTATACATCAAGATTGATTAACATGTTGCTTTCGAGAATCAAATAGAAGAAATAAACTTCCTTTGAAAGTGAGCAACAATAGGTCAGTGATAAATCCTTTTCCCTAATTTCTTACCCTTTTTGGCATTCTATCATAAATAATAATATAATAGCCTCTGTGGTAGCCTAAATGATCAAATGAGCTAAGTGTTGTCAACATGCATGTATTTTGAGTTGTAAAAGGAAAACATTAAATTCAAATTTAAGGACATAATACTTGGACAATAGAAATTTTTGGAGATAGACTAAGCCAATATATCCTGTTAACCTTATGAAGGGTTCAGTTAGGTCACAAGTGGGATTGGCAGTCACCTATATGTGTTGTACCTAAGGCAGCACATATAAAAATATTTACATGTAACTATAACATAATATGCATAGATAGACATTTAACCTGCCGATACTGATGGTATATTTTCTACTAATACTTTTTTAATGTTACTATCCATCTTCTCATAATTTTCCACTTGTTTTTCACATTTATAAATAGAGGTAGTTCCAAAGATGTTAAAAGTTATCCTCACTTTTGGTAACTTTTTGGGCATGAAAATATTGCTAGCTAGTTTTGATTGTAGTGTGACTGAATAGTTCATGGGACCTCAGTGTTCTGACATACACTTTATATTTCTTTTGTCTTAGCTCCTCTAGTTTAGAGAAGCAAGAGGTGATTATAAGAATACTGTGAATAATGAAGCTTAAGAAAGATTTAACTTTCATTTTCTGTTTCCTTGTTTTTGGATAGATGACAAGGGTTTTTTTTGTCAAGGTAAAATCTTTTGATCATGTAAACGTGTGAGTTTAGGTAAAATTTACTAAAATGTATCCGTAGATATACACTATGACAGTAAACCTTTTCAGAAGAACAACATAAAAAGCTTTTATAGCTCCGTTAACAAAACAGCACAGGGAAGGATTTTCCAGAGAGCTAAATCTAGATGACTCGCATCAATATTTGATTAGATACATTAGCTGGTCTAACTCTCAAGTGATCAGAATAAACATGATTATACCTCAAAAACATGGTATCAAGGCATAGTTGGGTGTTTGAGTGTGTGTGTGTGTGCGTATGTGTGTGCAATGGTTGCATTACCTACAGAATAATGAAGTGTTTCTTCCTGACTGAAAACGACCATCATTTCTTATGTGCCACATCAGAAATAGCTTTAGATTTCCAAGTTTGAATTAGGCTTGGTGTTCAATCTCAGTCTATGAATTATAGATTACAGATAGCAAATGACTATTGAGATTTTTATTTCAAGAAAAATCAAAGAAAAGCACAATTAGAAATAATTTAAAATTTGAAACCTGTCTTTAGAAAGTTGATGGATTAGCAATTATATACCACATAATTACAGTGTCTTCAGAGAAGTTGAATTTGAAATGAACAGGAAAACAAACAAAAATTGTGAGTGCTTGAAACATGCTTGAAATTCTCAGAAGCATACGTTTGTGACAAAAAAAAATGGATAGATTTCCTTCACTTCATTTGGTTATATATTGTTTGGACATTTGACTTGTTAATTTTCTCTTTGTCTTAAAAGCCAATTTTCTCATAGTTAAAGCCTTGTGTAGATTCAATCTTATTTGATGGGTACATGGTAATACCACAGTGATAACACTAAGGATTAAGTTTTACTATTTACAGCTCATGGTAAATCAAAATGTTACTTGCTGAGCTCCAGAATCTCTGCCTATTTTATAGCAACAACCTTTGGTCTATAAGGTACTACTTAATAATAAGTAACACATTTTTAAATATCATTAACTTCTATAATAAAGTACATAAAGATATGCCATATATGCTAAAATATATGTGCATACATGCATATGTTTATATAATCTACATGTGTATATACACTTATATACACCTAATTGAGTGACCTCAGGAAATACAGTGAATATTTACATATACACACACTCAAATGGAGAAAGACGCTTTATATTTTTTAAAGCCTGTACAAATTCTAAGTTAAATTAGTAAATGTTCATTGCTTCTAACTTTTGTTTAACTCTGCAGAGAGCATAATTGTCAAGGACCATCACAAGTTTGATGTAGCTTGAGAAACCATTTAGCTACTGAGTGATTTGTAATGAACTGTGATATGAATTTTCTTAGTTAACTTAAGAGCAACACTAGGTCTTCATCAGGGAACAAGTGAATAAAAAGATTTATGTTCAAATCACATGTTTTAAACATTCCTGCTAAGTGCTAGTTTGCTCTTTGGTGTTTAGCCTGAAATTTAAAGCACTAAGGATTAAAAGGATTACAACATAATCTTAAATAATCCTAAATGTCATTTACAGAGAGATAGTTGTAATAACTAAATAAAACCATGTTAAATGATGGCAGTATTGTCAGGCAGCATCCATAGAACAAGAAATGCTACTGTCACCTTTTCAGTCCTCACTGGCAACATTAAGCATTTACGAAGCTGTTCAGTAGGAAGTTCAGCTGAGAACATCATTTAATATAATACAGATTTTTTTTAACTTTTAATATATTCTTGTTTCAAAGGTGAAGAGAAATTTTTGCTTAAGTTCCTTCCCTCTTGTGACTGTATTGTTCTCTGAGTTAAGTATTTTTGAAAGTCTAAGGAAAGAAGTTTCGTGGCATGGCTATCAAACAGATGACACAGTCATAAAGTATTCTCCTATTTCCATAAAAATACACGGGTTTAAAATAGATGAGTGTCCCAAACACTGTAATTAATTGCATATCATTTAAGTCAGCACTCAAATATTCTTTACTTCTGCTATGTAAATTTGTTTTGTCTCACAAAGACAAAAAAAGACAGAAATCATACCACATATAATTGCATACTTACTAAACCAGAAAACTGCACACTTTTTAGCTGCTCCAATTGTTATTGCTAAGGGTAAAGTTGCATTTATTCAGAAAAAAAATCAAAAGCAAAAAGCAACAACAACATTTTGATTAAACATTTTTGGAAATTTTGTCCATAATCTCAGTCTTATACTCCAAGATTTTCAAGATGCGATAGGAATGAAGAACAAGAAGACAAAATCTGTTGTCTTGATCCTTTTTAATATAATGTTTAAGATAGTAGCTAATTATACATTTAAAATAGTTGAATAATTTGTGCCATAAAACCTTATCTTTTCTCAGATCCAGTCTTATTTTTTAAATAAAATTTTATTTGTGAGCACATATTGGGCTCCTGTATAGATTACAAGTAAGTTGGATAATTCTATCAACTAATGAAGTAAGACCAATTAGGAATATGTCAATTGCTTACTTGAAAAGCAAAAAAAGAAACTAAATAAGTCAAGAAGATGAAAGCCTTTTCACTTCCCCCATCACCAATTTATAATTTCAAAAAATAACATGGTCAAATTTCCAGGATATGAGAATTTTTTTTTAATGTAAAAATGTCTCAGGAGACAGTTCCTGCTCCCTATGAGTAAAGAAAACCTTGGAATAGGTTTATCATTATTCATATTACTTTTCTGACTTTGGATGAAGTCTTCTGGCTATAATGTATATTAAACATATTCATGTAATATTTTCCATGGATATGCATTACAGTTAAACATAATTTGATTGCTCTTCCTGATCTGAATATGTCTTAACTTGAAATGCTTAAGTACTACTTAAGTTTATTAATGTGAAGATAATTTAATAACATCTTGGAAAATACCATTTTAAGCCAAAAGGAAAACTATTGTCATTTTGCTTTTATACATTTCCTTGCATTAAAAGTGGTGGTTCAAAATAAAGCTGAGCATTTACCAATTTTCTCTTTCATTTTTCAATGCTGG